TCTATTCTCTGATTCTATGAGCTTGATTACTTGATATTCCATATGTAAGTGTTATCATGTAGTATTTGTCCTTCTGTGTCTGGTTTATTCTACTTGCCATAATGTTTTCCAGCTTCATTCATATTATCGCAAATGGCAGGATTTCTTTCTTTTTTAAGACTGAATAATATTCCATTGTATGTATATACCACCTTTTCTTTATTCACTCTTTATTCATTTGTCCATTCATTGACATTTAGTTTGCACCCATGTCTTGACTATTGTGAATAATGCTGCATTGAATATGGAAACACAGATATCTCAAGATCCTGATTTCAATTCCTTTGGATGCATACCCAGATTTGAGATTGCTAGATTACCTGGTAGCTCCTTATTCGATTTTTTTAAAATATCTGTACTGTTTTCCATTGTGGCTACACCAATTTATACATCCCCATCAGCAGTATGTATTAGAGTTCTTTCTCCACACCCCTACCAACACTTGTTATCTCTTGTTTTTCATAATAACCATCTTGACTGGTATAAGGTGATAGCTCATTGTGGTTTTGATTTGTTTTTGCCTGATGATTACTGATGTTGAGTACTTTTTCATATACCTGTTGACTATTTCCATGTATTCTTTGGAGAAGTGTCTATTCAGTTCCTTTGCCCATTTTCTACCAGATTTGGGGGTTTTCTTGATACTGAGTTTTAGAAGTTCTCTATCTATTTTGACTATTACCTCTGTATCAGATACATGGTTTGCAAATACTTTCACTATTTTATAGTTTTCCTTTTCATTTTGTTTGCTATCCAAAACCTTTTTATTTTGTTGCAGTCCCACTTGTCTATTTTTGCTTTTTTTTTTTTGCCTTGTACTTTTGATGTCATATCCAAGAAATCATCACCAAGACCATTGCTTTCCCATGTTTTCTTCTAGGAGTTTTACAGTTACAGGTCGTATGCTTAAGTTTTCAATCCATTTTCAGTTAATTTTTTGTACATATTCAATTTCATTTTTTTGCATGTGAATATCCAGTTTTCCCAATTTGAGACTGTCCTGTCCCCATTGTGTATTTCTGGCACCTTTGTCGAAGATTATTTGACCGTATATGCATGGGTTTATTTCTGGGCTCTCTATTCTGTTCCATTGGTCTATATGCCTGTTTTTACACCACTACCATACTTTTTTTGTTATTGTACATTTGTAATATATTTCAAGATCAACAAGTCTGATGCCTCCAGTGTTGTTCTTGCTTAAAATTGCTTTTGCTATTTGGGATCTTTTGTGTTTCCACATGAATTTTAGAATTGTTGACTTCAATATCTGTAAAAAGATGTCACTGGGATTTTAATAGAGATTGAATTGAACCTGTAGATCACTTTGAGTAATATGGATATCTTAACAATATTAATTCTTCTAATCCATGAACATATGATGTCTATTTATACCTACTTTAATTTTTTGATCCATGTTTTAGAGTTTTCAGTTTACAAGTCTTTTGTCATCTTGGTTAAATTCATTCCAAAGTATCTTATCCTTCTTGTTGCTATTGTAAATGGGATCATTCTCTTAATTTCCTTTTTTGAATAGTTCCTTCTTGTGTATAGAAATACACGTGATTTTTTAATGTTGATTTTGTATAATGAAACTTTACTGAATTTGTTGATTAGTTCTCACATTTTTTTGTATGTATTCCTTAGTATTTTCTGTGTCAGATCATGTCATCTGCAAACAAATTATTTACTTCTTCTTTCCTGCTTTGGACACCTTTTATTTCTTCTTTTTTCCTAATTGTTCTGGTTAGGACCTCCAATTGTATGCTGGATATCAATAGCAAGTGTGGGCCAGTAAAAAGTAGGGGAAAATATTTCAGAAGAACAAAGCAAAGACTCTAAGATGGGAAAAAATTTAAGGTCATCAAGAAAAACAAAAAAAAATGTGTCTGAGAAATGGTCCAAGAGGAGAAAGTAGCAAGCAATTAGAGTGAAATGATAAGCACAGGCAAGATCATAAAGGCCAAGTTAAAGATTTGGGATTTCATCTTATCATATGGAAATCCATAGAAGAAATTTAGCAGAAGAGTAACATTGAATTTGCACTTATATAAGATCTCCCTGAGTCTTAGTGCTTAATAGGGTACAGGTGGATAAGAATGAAAAATGGAAGACACATAGTCTGGGTTAAAAATAATAATGACTTGGACTAGAATGATGACAGTGGCTATAAAGTGAAGCAGGTTAATTAACAATATATTTTGAAATAGAACCTGGAAAACTGAATAATATATTTGGAGATGGGAGGAAAGACAGAGGACCCCTGATTTCTGCCTTGAGCATGTGAAGGTACTGGAGGAGATGGGGGAAGAGTGAAGAAGAAGTAGGGGAAAGATCAAAAGTTCTGTTTTGTGTAATCACTTCTTTGAAAACTTCCCTTAGAGATTACCTGTATTTCTGACCTCTTTCCACGGTTTTAGCTCTTTTTCTTGCCCCAAATGTAAATACGTTGAAAGACATTTCTAAATGTTCTCTTCACTCACTCCCCATCATTTTTTAATTTCACCTGCCCTTAAATTTCCATTCCATGTAGATGATTCATTAATCTTCATCTCTTGACTCAACCAGTATTCTGACCCATGATTCACATTTTCAAGTGTTTTCTGAGTACTTCTCTTTGAATTATCTCTTTGTGCCTCTACCTCAACTCAAAATCAAATTCATTTTCTCCCTATCATGGGTCTTACTGATATTATGGGTAGTACCATCTTTCCAGTCAGCTAGACTTACACTCAACATTAACATCTGCTTCCTCCTTGCTCTTGCTGTGGTTTTATCGGTGGAATCTGTTGCATCTTATGTTTATATTCTCTATGTTTCCTGGAAGTGGGAGCCCTGACTGTAACTTAAGCCCCCATTATACTATATCAAGATTTTTAACTTTTATATTCCTACCTCCACTACCTCTCCCATTCTATCAACCAGCACATAGCCTTAAGAGCAATCATCCTGAATGACAGTTCTAATCATTTCACTTGTGTCTCATATCTTCAGTGATTCCATTATCTTCAGAGCAATTTACAAATTCCTTAAAAATATATTAAATGCCTCTTATGATCTGACCTCAATCTATCTCATCCCCTGATTCCCAAATAACTTGTTTCTCACTATTCTGAAAATCTGTCTGAATCTTTCACAAGTCTGTTTTTGCTCATGCCAATGATACTACCTTCACCTCTCCATATGGACACTCTTCTTTTTTTAAAGCATAAAATTATTTTTCTCATCTCCCCAGATAGAAATAAGTTCTTCTTCTTAGAATCCCCAATAGAGTATGAGTTGGCAATGACTGAGAACAGATATTTTTTAATCTTATATCTCCAACTATGCCTAACATACTGCCTTGCGTACAGCAGGAAGAGAGTAAATAGTAAATTGAAATGACATATTAGCTCTTTTTGGTAAGTCTATAATGTGCCAAGTAATCTAAACAAATGCAATTTTGTGATAAATGTGATCTTAAAAGTAGATAATATTGAAACTCAAATTTTTAAACAAGGTGTTTAAAGAACCAAAATCTCTACCCCACTATCTATGGGCCTTTATGGAAACTAATTTAAAATAATTAAAAACTCCTCAAATTTTCTGTTATTCAGAAATTTCTGTTATTCCCCCTTTTTTATAACATCTATTTCTTAGAGACCCAGTAAAGAGCAGACCTTACAGATGCATTTAACTACTGAGATATAATAAAAAAATTTACCTACCAGTTTCTCTATCAACCAAAACAAACACTAAGCTATTTAAACATTAGATTGATTTTTTTGAATTGGAAGCTTTGCCTTATCTGAAATTTTATGCAAGTTAGCAAAATGTGACTATCTCTAAATTTCAAGTAAATTCCATCAACCTCAAGTTTGCCTCTGTTTAAACGATGGGATTAAGTCCAGTATATATGAATGATAAATTGAGGAATGGAATGGTTACAGTGGATATAAACTATAAAAAATCATAACAAAATCTCTACTCATTTTCAACCAAAATTTTTAGATAATTCCTCAAGAGTGAAAGGGGGGATGTCTGGGTGGCTCAGCGGTTGAATATCTGCCTTTGGCTCAGGGCGTGATCCCAGGGTCCCCAGGATCGAGTCCCACATCAGGCTCCCTGCAAGGAGCCTGCTTCTCCCTTTGCCTATGTCTCTGCTTTCTCTCTGTGTCTCTCATGAATAAATAAATAAAATCTTTAAAAAATTAAATTCAAAAAAGAGTAAAAGGAAAAGAAGAGCTAGACCAGTTTTTTAATAATTGCCTCCATTTATATCTGGTTATTTATCTGGTTAATTCATCTTTACTATTCATCTTTACTATTTTTTTCTAAACAAAAGTTTCTAGTCTTTAATTCTCTAATGGCTGCTTTACTTCTGCAAAGATTAGAGAAATGTCAGAAAACTGAAGACAGATTATGTCAAACCATTTTTAAATGATTAAAATCTTATGAAGAGGCTTTATTTTAAATTTCTCTCAAATTATTTTTGACTAATATAATATCAAAAATAATATATCTTATCTGAGGACAAAATTCAAAACTATTGCTTTACTTTCAATAATTGCTCCCTATTGCTACCAGGACCTGTTATAATAATACCAGTACAGTATCTTATTTAAATCTCATAGTGACCCTACAAGGTAAGCATCATTAACCCCACCACAGAGTTGAGGAAAGTGATCATGAGGCTAACTAACGTTCCAGAGGCCCTCTAAGCAGTAAGTCAGGAAATAAGGAGTAGGTGCAGCTGTTTCTGAGAGACTAGAGTAGAAGTACAGGGAAGTCATATAACACAGCTAGCTGGCATCTGGATATTTCCAAGGCAAAAAAATATTGAGAAAATGTCCCCTAGTATCAATGTGTAAGAAATGCTGTGGTCTATTACACTGATTTGGGACTTTCTTTCTTTCTTTCTTTCTTTCTTTCTTTCTTTCTTTCTTTCTCTTTCTTTCTTCTTTGTCTGCATTATTTTCCTTCAGTCGCTGGAAATCTTTCTGCTGCATTGTCTGTGATGGTTGCTGGCTTCTTTGAAATACACAGAAAACACTTCCCTCCAGTGGAGCAGCCTCTTTCAGGCAAAGTCCTCACCGTTTCTTCCATGCCCTGTTTTCACCTGGTTCTTCAGTACATTTTACTTGGAGTGGCTGAAACACTGGTCAACCCAGCCTGTGAGTAACGATTTCACCACCTCATGTAAGAACACACCAAGTCTTTAAACAGAACACATCACCTCAAGCAGTTGGCGACCTATTCACTCCCTGGAGATTTCCCACAATCCTTCAGAACAACCTATTAATCACTCTCATTTTTTTAAAAAAAAATGCTTAATTTCTCTTCATTCCTCTGCCAGATGCAGAACAATTATTAATTCTACCTGAATGTAGACGGAAGGAAAGATTTACGAACTTAAAGGCAGTAACTATTTGGTCAAATACACAAGGGGAGGAAAAAACTGCTAAAACATAGAAGAGAAATCCAGTATACTCAGATAAAAACTCTCCTCTCTTTCTTCTTCCACCTTCCACCCTCTCACTCATACATAAATTCACATATATATAGTCCTTCCAAAATGACATTTATAATGTACTCTGAGAGTGTATAAACATGCAAATGAAATGAAAATTTGAACCAATTTTCCTGATAACTCAATGTCTTTAAATTAAGTTACACTAAATTAAGTGTGATCACTGGTGTTTTAAAAGATGGGTTCAAAATAACTTTATTAAATATCAAGGGTTTTCTGGATTATCTAGATAGCTGATATTAATTAAACTAGCCACTTTACAATTCATCAAGATAGTTCAGTGACTTCTTGCTATACAACGGAGTGTGTGTGTGTGTGTGTGTGTATTTATTAGAGTAATCTATTGCATCTTATTTTTTACCTTTGTTATATTTCCCTGCAGTAAGAAGGATTATAACTGATTATAACTTATTATACTTCATCAAGATTGCTTTTTGGTTCCTATCTTCCTACCTCCACTATATCTCTCATTCTACCAACCAGCACAGGATCTTTAGAGCAATCATCCGAAATGACAGTTCTGATCATTTCACTTGTCTAAAAATCTTCAATTATTCTATTATTTTTCCAAATTCCTTAACTATATATATTTAGTAAAGATACATATATATTCATATATATATATGATACCAAAGCAATTCATTGAAAAGGTAAAAATAAAATCAATTAATAGAGTTTGTGTGGGATGTGATATCTGTCACCCCACTGATCCTCAGGGTTGATTTGGCTGATCAGGCTGACTAAACAGGTGTCCTCTTCCTCCCTCAATGCTTCATGTGTGTCTCTCCCAAAGCTGCACACTCAGTGGAAAAAGATGACTTTCCGCACAGAGGAGGAACATTCTTCAGTCAAGGGTATGTGAGTAGCTGCGTGCCTATGCTAGCACCTCCAAACAAGCTCTCAGCATACATTCATAGGACAATGTAGGGTAGTCTAGCTTCCAATGCTTGAGACACATCTAAATGAGGTGCTGCATGTGGCAGTCTGACTTTCAAAAAGCAAGAAGAAAGAAAAGAAAAAAGAAAGAAAAGAAAAAGAGAAAAAGAAAGTTTATGGGACTATAATCATATATGTGTTAGACTTCTTTTTAAAAAGATTTATTTATTTAGTTTGGATGGGGTCGGGGGCAGAGGGAGAGGAAGATAGAATATCAAGCAGACTCCCTGCTAAGTGTGGCACCCGACTTAAGGCTTGATCATGACCTGAGCTGAAATCAAGAGTCAGATGCTTAACTGACTGAGCCACTCAGGTATCCTGTATTTGACTTCTTTTTATATTTTTAAATCATTCCATTCAATACATATTATATAGGTAAATTGTTTTATGAGATTCTTTGATGTTGATGTCACTGTTTGATAATACAAAAAATACAAGAGAACTATAAAAGAACACCACTACACAAATGTTTGTGACTTCCCTGACATCGTTTCTAGAAAATTGTTGGAGGTAGCCAAAATTTTGTAGGTTAGAAATGAAGCATGGGAATGAATGCAGATGATTAGTGAATAAAGTCAGAAAATTCCCAGCAATCTTAACAATAGTGTTTCAACGTACTAAAGTCAGAGAAGTACTTCCAACCATAGACAATTAAAAAGGTATATCATGTAATATAAACCTCTTAGTCTACCCTTCCCTGATTTACCCATCAGGAAATTGACATCCAACTAAGTCAATTGTCTTATTTGCTATATAGGTCATGGGGTAGGGACCAGAAGACTGTTTTGATTTCCAGCTGTGACTCTTACTACATTTGTGACCTTAAGAATTCATGTAACATCTAAGCTTCATCTTTCTGATCTTTAAAATGGAAATAATTAAAATTCTCTATATCACAGCATGAGTGTAAGAATCAACGCGAATGGGGACTACTCCATGAAAATTAAATGACAACTTGTGAAAGGGTGTTTTGAACTGTAAATTCAACAATTACTCGAACCTCCCACCCACCCCCCCAAAAAAAAGAATTACTCTTCTGGGAGGCAGTACAGCATAGTGGTTAATATCTATGGTCTTAAAGTCAGACAAATCTGAGTTTAAACCCAGTTGTGCCTTGACTAAGTGTGTGACTCTACATAAATTACTGTGCATTTCTGAGCCTTTCTCATCACCTATAAAATGGGGAAAGGTTGTTGTCACGACTATGTGAAGTACTTTATATAGAAGAAAAAGTAGAGTACCTAGTATATAGATAGCACTGAATAATTATCAGCTATAATGTGTGCTGCTATTATTATTCTAATCTTTCACATGAATTAATAGGGGAAGACTCAGAACTCAAGCCCAGATGTCCTGCTCATAGCTCTTTCTACCACACCTATCACCACCTGAACACTGGTAGTGTGAGTGAAATTGTGTCTTTCTCACGTGAGTCATCCTAAATCCCTTTTTTCTCCTTACTTCTCACATCCAATCCAAAAAGACTCAGTCTTTACTCTGAAATATAATCTAAATCTGGCCATGTCTCACTATCTTCTTTGCTATTCACTTAGTCTACGTGGTCACCATTATCTCATCAATTCAATCAGAGCCTCCTGACTTGTCTCTCTGCTTCTTCTTCTGCCCCAGGAGTTCATTCTCTTCAAAACAAAGTTCTTTCCAAAAGAAGTCCTATCATTCCCCTGCTTCAAATTTCTCAATAGAATTTTGAAATTAATACCTTAAATGGTGAATAAGACTGCCCATGATTTGGCCTCTTGTACTGCTCCAACTACATTTTATAACATTCTTCCTTCTGACTACTCCACTAGAAATTTGATGATCTTCATTCTGTGTTTCTAAAGTGTCAAACTTACTTTTGTCCCAAGGCCTTTGTGTTTATTCTTCTCTCTGCCTACAATTTCCTTTCCTCTATTTTCAAGTGTCTGGCTTCTTCTCAGCATCAAATTTTCTCAAAGATTATCTCTTCAGAGAGGCTGTCCAGGTGATCCTATCACTTTCGCTCCATTACCCTGTTCCATTTTTTCTAATAGCACTTGTCAGGACCCACAATTATCTTATTTATATGTGTATGTTTACTGCCTGCCTCTCACCATGTGAATGTACAATCTTTAAGTCAAGATTCTTATCCTTATTGTCCATCCTTAAGTTATGAAGTTCTTTCTCCCTTAAAAGTGCATGTACAGAGAAAATTATTAATAAATATACTGAATAAACAAATGAATTAATAAAATTTATAGCTATTTCTATGTGAGTATAATAAAAATATATCATTCAAATTACTGACAATGACCCACAGTGATGGCACTGAGCAAGGGGGTACAGTGGATTACTCCCAAATTTCAGGGACATTGTTTACTGTACTAAGTCATATCATATCTTAGAGATGATCTACAAGAAAAAAATGGAAAACTTTTCAAATTATGTCTTAGTTATAGCAATGTATACCCCAGCTATCTCATAACCTGTGTTTGTTTTATTTATTCAAAAGATACTGTGTTGGTATCTACAATATGCTTGGCACTACTCTAGAACCTTAAGGCACATCAATTTAAAGAAAATTCTGCCATTGTAGAACTTACATTCTACCAAAGGGAGAAAGGTAAATGATAAATGTAATAAATAATTAAATTACAGAACATGTTGGGTGATGAGTACTCTAGAAAAAGAAAAGATAGGGCAGGACAAGGGGGTTCAGTATTGCCTAGCATAGGGGACAGCGGGTTGCAGCATTAAAGGATGGATAGGATAGACCTCAATGAGAGATACTACTTAGGCAAAGCCTCAAAAAAGTTGAGGGAATCAACCACATGGATATCTGGAAAGAACATTACTGTTAGCAGGGGAGTTACTAAATGCAAAGATGGAAATATACCTCACAATGTAGTGTAAGAGGTCTTGTGCAGTTGGAGGAGAGTGAAGAAGAGAGAAACTAGTAAGAGATGAGTCAGAGTAGCCACTGTAAAGACTCTGACTTGGGCTCCGAGTGAAGCAGGAAAAGGAATGACATGCTATTACTTACTTACACTTTTTAAAAAATATTTCTGAAGATATTTAATCTGCCTTCTTCATTTCATGTTCCATACATACATAGAAAAGTAGCAGTTGGTTACTATCCTTACAAAGTTCCAGCAAGCATCACTGTATAAAACTATAGGTTGTAATTGTGTACATGTAGACTCTAAAGAATTTCAAACATTTCCAGTCTTCTCCTTTCTGCCCCTCATCTCTTCCCACTCACATGTTGATCTTCCTTACCTTTCACTGTTGAACCAGTATTTGAAATATTTAGTCAGTATTTTCTCCTTTTCCAATGACTTCCATGCCTGATAACTACTTCCCTTGATCCGGAGGCAATTTCTGCGCTCTGTTTACCCCATGGTATATTTTTCTAGGCTTCACAAATGAAGTCAAGTCCCACTTTACACAGCAAAAGGCCAGAAGAAAATTCTCCAAAGAGAACTGGTATAATCTTATTTTGAAAAGGATGTTACAGATTATTTTCAGTTACTTACACTTTTTTATTAAAGATTTTATTTATTTATTCACGAGAGACAGAGAGAGAGAGAGGCACAGAGACACAGGCAGAGGGAGAAGCAGGCTCCATGCAGAGAGCCTGATGTGGGACTCAATCCCTGGTCTCCAGGATCACGCCCTAGGCTGAAGGCAGTGCTAAACTGCTGAGCCACCTGGGCTGCCCAGTTACTT